CGGCGTGAAATCGCCGCGTATTATCTAACGATCCCACGCACGAACGCACACACTGCGTCTCGATTCTCGATTACTCATGAGCACCGCACGCGATGATTCTGCTCGAGAATGTAAACTGAAACATTCACGGTTATTCATTAACAAGCAGCGACGGATTCACCGATAAGGATTGTTCTCACTAGCGTCGGTTAACATTAACGGTGGTTTAACTGATTCCCGGAGAATCACTTAAGTCTCAATTAACTTTAACTTATGGAAAGAGGCCTACGCAAGTAGTCCCTAATACACAATGCTCTTAGGATCTTGCCTATTAAAAGCCCAAACTTGTGCTATGAATTTGTAACTATTTGTTTCTCGAAAATTTATGCGCATCTTTATCTCTTCAATATTATATATATATATATATATATTTTTTTTTTATTTTGAAATATTTTCAAGATATTTCCGGTGCTTCTGAAGGAGAAATTCTGAAATGTTATCTCGTTTTTTTTTTTTACGATACTTGGAAATTATAATTTGCTTATTATTTAGAAATATGTTGACATTTGTTTGAGAATCGGGAACTGAAAAATTTTCAGATTTATCTGCGCGCGCGCGAGCCGTCGATTTTCCACGGTTAGTCATGGCGATTTTTATTTCCACTCGCTGCGAATTAATACGAGCAAATCACCATATCGCGCGAAACGGACGGGGAATTAAATAAATATCAAACTCAAGTACGCGTTTAAAATATTTCCCATATCTGTTTGTGTAACGGAGAGCTTACGCGCGCGATTCTTCCATCGATATCGTCGACATTTTTTTCACGGCGAAGTGATAAAGCCAACCTGCAGAATAGTAAATATAAATATGCATATGGAAGAAAAGCAAATATTAACTGTTACGCGGCGTCTAGGTTTTGCATTAAGCCAAATTATGTCAATATTAACTTACAAGAAGTTTTACCAATATCAGGTGAATCGGGCTATATTCTTTTATGTCAATATATCGAAACATGGACTTATATTTACGTTACGCTACTCTATAATTAAAAGCATCGATGTATAAAATATTCTAAAATTCTATTAGTAAAAAAAGACTGTTCTCTACATTATATATTTTTTATTTCCGTATCATCAGTGTTGCTGTGATATTGAAAAATTGAACATATTGATAATATATTTACATTTCGCATTTCACATTTAATTAAAATAATTTAGTATCTATATTATTTAAATGTGAAAGCGCGAAAAATAAATAAGGAAAAAAGGAATGGATATGTAAATTTCAGAAAAAAATATTATACGCATCTATTAATGTTTGTAACAAATTAAATAATAAGAAATATATATAAAAGTAAAGCATAAAAATAATATTTTATAACAAACTTTGACAAAATAATTTCATTTATTTTAGTCTATTTATTTATAAAAATCTTTCTCTATTAATTATATCTTTTTCTCTTTCTTACGCTTTTGACGAAAAATATATTATTGTTTAGCTTTTGTAATTTAATAACATTTTTTATTTATGACATTTCTTATTGGTCCAAGTGCAATTGAGACCAATTTTCACGAGTTTTCGCGAGTCATTTCCCTTCATGTTTAATTAAAAATATATCTAATGTATACAAAGAGCTATTGTTAAGCAAACATATTTTAGACTTTCAATTTTACATTTTATATTTAACATTTGTGTTTCAATTATTTAGGGCACACTTATACCAATGCATATAAATTCTCAGTGGGACGATGTTTTATGATAAAAAATATAGTTTAATTACCTCAATCGGAATCGATTAAAAATCGTGTATATTCGACACGCTGTAAAATTCCATTTCTCTGAAATTTAACGTTTTCACGAGGGTTCGATTTTCGCCGAAAGCCCCGGCATGATTGTCGGGACTGTACCGTATTACGCGTCGGACAATTATTATGCCAGGGGCGGCCCCACGCAACATCGTACCTCGTAAGGAAGGTTCGGGCCGGATGTGGTACAGCGAAAGTTTCGTCCGAAATTGCGCGCGTGGCGCGTCGCGCCATTCGTGAGGGCCTAACGGGCGATTTTGGGGTAGGTCGCATCAGGCTGTCGAACATTCACACCGGCCCCTCTCGAAAGGGGCTCGCAGGGAACGGCAAGTGAAATGAGCGAGAGAAAGAGAGAGAGAGAGAAAGAAACGCGAGATTTCGCGGCGAAAGTTTTGTCGAGGCATGCGGCACGGTTGTGCGTGCGGGATGATGATGTTATGCGAGTCGTTTCGCATGCCACACTCTCCTTGTATAACGTCGCTTTATTCTGCTTACCGAGTTAATATCAAAAGATCGATTTTTGTCTCTTATTATTCTACACAGTTGAAAAATTTGTGTTAAATTTAACAGATATCACATGTCCCAAACGGCCTACACATGTTAAGTGACATTAATACTGTATTAATTTTAACACAAAATAAATGCAAATCTCAAAGTAATTTGAAATAAATTTTGTGTAAAATCAACATATTTTTAATAATAAAATTAACTTGGAAAAATGTTATTGACAGTCTGTAGTCACTGTCACTCTTATTGTAGAAAAAAAACATTTTTTTTTCTGTAAATTTTAACAGATAAATCCTGTCACTAATAATACGGAACATATCTATTGTGTAAAATTAAAAATAAGTGCATATTGTGTTATTTTTACACTTTTTTCAGTGGTTTTAATAATTGAACGCTTGAGTTAAATTAACACAACAGCAATATGTTAAATTGACACATGAATGTGTTAAATATTTAATACAAAAATTTTAACCAGCATATTTTTTAACAAGAAAACACAAGTGTGTAATTTTGTAGTTTTGTATGTTACACAAAAATACGGCCACTCTTTTTAATTGCACAATTAATATGGCAAATTTGACATATGAGTTTATTTGTATGATAAATTTTAATTATGGCGATGTATTATGTTAAATTGATTCGTGCATAAATAAGAAGGACACCGTTCAGCGCGAGATATTTGCTTGCTCGTGCTTAAATATATACTTCAAAATTTCTGACAATATTTCTTGGGCGCTCTCTCCCTCCTCCCCTCCCGTTTTATGTTATAAAATATTATTATATTGTATTTGTTTCATACAATTTTATTCATAAAAAAAGCGAGGGTTTACTTAATGAAGTATATATATTTTTTATATTATTGCACTTTTTTATTTCCAATTTTATATAATGATATTTGTTGTTATGCCATCTTTCATATTATATTATATTATATACATTACATATAACTCTATATTTGTTTCATAAAAAACCTAATAACTGCATTTTTAATATATGATTTATTTGAATTTACTATGTAATAGCCTTTGTTTATATTACGTGTATATTCAACTAAAAAGATCCTCGCTTCTTATAAATGTCAAATAAAATTTTTTGACAAATGTTTCTACATGAAACGCAAGCAAGAATCTTCCATTAGCAAGCAGTGCGATTATTCTAAAAGAGACACTGTATAATATTAATAATTTAAATAATTATAAATTTGAAACACACGATGTTTCATGAAATATATCTATATATACTTATCTATATAAAATAGATTAATTATTTATAATAACGCGATTGATAAATATTAAAATACGGGATTAATAATGATTATATTGATTTATTAAAGCGTATCGCAATGCTGCTCAACTGAAATTGATCCATTATTGTACTTGAGATTTTTCGTCAATGACCGAAATTTGAGAATAATATCCAAGTATTATTAAAGAAACAATTATATGTAGGGTGTTTCAGAAATAGGTGGCCAAACTTTAATAGCATATTTTACTCACTACGAGGATGAAAAGAAGTTATGTAAACATGGGTCCGGAAACGCTTCCTTTTCAAGTTATAAACATTTTTTATTTACATTGGAAAACATGCCTCGCATCGACGTTTCATGAATTGTCCTTCTATTTACTTTCTATTAGAAGTGAACAAGAAGTTTTATTTATGGGGACATCTTAAGACTCATTTATGACACTCCTGAGTTATTATGGAAGTACTCCGAAATTGTATTATTGCTTCGTGCGTGGCAAAACACGAAATACTCCGGGAATTTTTGAACGTCTTCGACAATCCATGCGACGTCGATGCATTATAATGCAGAAGGAAATCATTTCCAGCAATTTCTACAATGAAATGTTTTTATAGTTTCAAATGTTCTTAAAGTCTGTTATAAATAAAAAATGTTTATAACTTGGAAAGAAATCGTTTCCGGATCCATGTTTATATGACCTTTTTTTATCCTTGTAGTGAGTAGAATATGCTTTTAAAGTTTGGCCACCTATTTCTAAAACACCCTATATATCGCTTATAAAGATCGCCGTAACACGATAAGAATTCCTATTTCTTTTCGCTCTGATTTCAAGTAGTCGTAAGTCGTTTCGTGTGTCGTCGTATATTATCTCTCGAAATACGATTGCGAGAATGTGACAGGTATCACGAGGTGCCGAACGCGATCGCCTCGTGATACTTGTCACCCTCTTTCACTCTACAAACAATTAATGAATATCTCACACATTTTTTTTGTTAATTTACATGTAATTTGCTTACTATTATCGGATTGGAAATGCATCGTGTTACATGATTCGTGGGATCGATTGATCCAAATAACAGTGAACATCGATCATGTATCGACGATGTATTAATAATAAATAATTTATGATGCATTAAACAAAATATTTGACTTATATTTTATATGTAATTTATTTTCATTATTTGCACGAATACATATCATGTTTTTGATAACATTAAGTTTTATAATTGCTTAGATTATTTGTGTATATGTATATAAAAATTATATAAGTTTATTTAAAACAAAAGTTCTTTTAAAATTATTTAACTGTTCTATTAGAGAGATGTACTTAAATAGATGAATGAAAAATTTTTAATTGCACGCGATGGTTATTTTTGAGAAAGTAATTATTTTATAAATTGCGCGCGCAATATATATATACATATATTTATATAATTTGGATATTTTATTTTTGTATTTTACAGAGATGAACGTCGGAAATTACAACTCTGCTTTGCACATCTATTGGTGAGTTTCAAATTATTTTTTATATATATAAAGAGAAACACACACACATATCTATATGTATAGAATCTTTAAATTTTATATAAAAATTAAATTGCTGTAAGTTAATTCGTAATTCAAAGAAAAAAAGCTAAAAATTAAGATAACACAGATAAACGTTAGGATAATGTCAGATGTTAAATTAGTCAAATGGTTAGATTTTTATGAAATGAATTAAATAATTTTTCCAAAAGGCAAAAATTATACACATTACATATCAAAATATTTAAAATCCTCGCTTATGTATGCAATAAGAATATGTCTAAGTTTTACGCATAGGCAAATTTCTGTTATCAAAAGTCACTCTCTCTGCTAAATTGATTAGAAACTAAATACTCAAGAGATTGATGCATATCTCACGGAACCATATAAATGAACTGTGTCGCTTTTTTATTATTTATTTATCTTTTATACATATAATTTTCATATTCCGGTACTTTTTAACGATCTATTTTAAATACGTGAGCGTGTAAGTTGTGCACGCGAGTGTCACGGGCGCGTGAGTGGCGTTTGTCGGTTGATTAACCATTGAAACGCCGCATAAAAATTGACGAGTGAAGTCAGGTCGATCGCAACGAAAAGAGAATCAAGCCGAACAACGCGTCGCGAAGCCTCGTTCGCTCGTAGCCTAAAATAGGACGCATTGCAACAGTCTTTTTTTTCCGCCGCGGATCGATAATCCGTCGTGCAACAGCTTAACCTTCTGCCGCGAGTGACACAACGAGCGAGAAGAGAATTTCTTATTGTTAGTATGAAACTAGGCACTAACTTATAGCGCGCATAGTTAACTATTATCTTATTCTATGCGGTTTCATAGTTGCCGGAAATCGATTATCGTACAAACGCGACACTATATTCGCATTATGAAGGAAATGCGATTTAATCGATGTCGAATTAAGCGAAAAAAAATTTGTATCAAACGAAATAAACGCGAAAGGATCTATTAAGGATATTTTAGCTGTACAATAGTAGTAAAAACTGTCAAAATTAAAAAAAAAGACATATTTCTTACGTTTATACTGTTTAAAAAATCAAATAAATAAATCCGGATTATAAAAAGAATTAAAGTATCACAAGATGATATGGTTTGGTCTTCGTAAAAGAAAATAGTTGTAATTAATATTTTTCCTAATTTATGACAAAAACTTTTGATTGCAAATATCCCCTGCATCCCCATAATCAACTGCAAGAAAAAAATGAGTAATTTGCAGAAAGAGAGAGAGAGAGAAAGAGAGAGATAATATTTTTCTGTAATTTTTAGTAAATAAATAAATTTTAAACGAATAAATGGATCTAAATTAAGTTTTGCACAAATATTTATTAGAGTTTTCTTAAGCAGCGTTTTAATATTTAAAAGACTGATTCATTCCTCAATTTATATTTTGTGTATGTGTGTATTGTATCTTTGTCTAAAACATAGATATTTTTATTTATATTTGATAAAATACATTTGGCATTTTTATTTAATTTAAGTAAAATATTTAATATTATATTTATATCATTTTTTATTTATCATATTATTTTTATGTTTTCCTTAATATTTAAAATACATTTTGAGATGTCATCTATTTTAACATTTCTCTAAATTCTGACGTTCTTAAGTTCCTGGAACTAGTAGACGTAGTAGAAACTGCAAGAGTTAAAATTGCTCTTACGCAAGTTGCGTATAGACTCAAGCTGCATCAATTATGCAGCTGGAAGCCTCTATTTATATACTGCTTCAATATCACGTTGACAATAACAATGCAAAGAATTCAATAGCGTGTCAAGGCGTGGAGATCGTGCTACGCTCCAAAATATGATTTTATTCGTTGAATTTTTTGACGCGGACGCTCGTAATTGAATTACGCGATGTGTTGAAAAGATGTTATCCGGAAGCCGGCGACAATCATCCTCCCTTCTTTTTCTTCAAGGGAAAGAAAGAAGTTCTCACTTTTCATCTCGGTGAACGCGACGGGCTATAAGATAATGAAAAAAGGATACAAAAGTTACGTGCGCAGGAATTATGCATCATCTTTTGGTCGCACGACGAGGAAGGTATTTTTTAACCTTGTTCACGTTGTTTACCATTTGTTTTTATCGGCTACATCTATTCTTTCATGATGGAGATTCTTTTTCTGGCATCAAAGATCGCGATTCAGTGACATGATTTGACGGACAAAGTTAAACTCGTTATGTATAAATCAGAAATTGCGTATAGTCTGTAAAATCTATTCATTTACATTCGTTGTAAATCAAGGATTACAACAAAAATAAATTTAACAAAATTTCTATCTCTCGCGAATAATATGATATAACTATGATCGATGAAATATTTAATTTAACAAGCATTATTAAAAGATATCGGATAATTAGTAGGTTATACCCTATCTGGTTATTAGTAGCATTATAGGTGCTTGAGCGAAAAAAAGTGTAAATAAACTCGCTGTAAATATTAAGCGTTGCGGGGGATAAATGGATATTATTTATACAGCGACCTGATAGCAGGCTATAAAAGCGATTTATAAAAAAAAAAAAATCTTCACGCCGCAGCATCCAACACTGCACGCGCGATGGTGCAAAGACAAAGTACCTTCCCACCTCGAAACCTCGTGTTCTCCGAAGAAATGCTCTGAAAGAAACCTCTTCCGCCCGCCTAAGCGCGCTCTTTATCACGAAGAAGAATGTTTATTACGTAAACAACGGCTGGCGGCGTGATGCAAAGTGCCGGCAAGGTAAATAGTATATCGTATTTAAAGTTCGACGGCGGAATGTTTCGTAATGCGAATTAATCTCGATGTAAATACACGACACGATTGCATTTCCAATGCGCGGACGACGATTGCTATTACTTGAGAAATATAAATTTTTTATGTATCTTTTTAATTAAAATATAATAAAATAAGAAAGGGAACCCCACATATCTGAGTTTTTTATTTATTTGTTTTTTTATTTTTTTTTGGCAAGATTCATTCGTTTTACCAGCAAAATTTTAAACCCTTCTGGGAGATATCTAAATTCGATTTCCATTGTGCATTGCGGAAACCGCGCGGGATGGCATGCAAAATTAATTTCTAATAGTTCGGGGAATTCGACCCTCTACGGCCTCTCGCTTAAGTGTCCTCTTCGCCGAAAGCTTATCGCTCTGCGAAATTTAGTCGCGTGCTCGCGCTCATGCGACCGTCCTTACAGCGGGTAAGGCCCGTCCACGATTTTGCATCACACGTACACACGTACGCACACGAACGCGACGGATGGACACACGGACGCAATGCACAGCGCGTTATCGATCCGCGTTTTTGCGCGGGTATGTCAACTCGTTACCGGACGTTGATCGAAGAGCGCAAGGTACACAATTACGCAGCGAGGCTCTCACCGAGAGAAGAAGGATCGTCCAAGAGCTTCGCCTTTCCGTCGCGCAATAAAACTGCTCCCGCACGAATCATGATTGGGCGATATACAGGGTGTCCCAGAATTGGACCGACAAACTTCAGGTAGTTATAAAGGACACTAAAACAATTAAATTTTGCCAATAAATCTAGTTTTGGCACTAGAGAAACAAAGACTGACGGCAAAAATCTTTGAAAAAAATTATTTTTTCAGAATTTTATTAATGTGGTTAAATAGAGATGTTTTTACCATGAAACTTTTGTATAAAACATTTTTTGGTATCTCGAATAATTTTCGAGATATATCGAGAAAAACAAAAAACCGCTCTATATATGAGGAGTGATTTCACCCTTTAGAATCGTTTTTGAGCCGCAACTGGGAATTTCTAAATTCATCTATTTACCTCTTCTACATGTGTGTAAAGTTTCATCAAAATCAGAATTTTCGGGTTTGCGAGGTTCCCTTGTTAGTTTTTGATTTTCTAGTTCACTTCAAAACCGCTCATTTGGGGACACGGGTATTGGCAAAATTGGCTTGTTTTGGTGTCCTTTATAACCTGAAGTTTGTCGGTTTAATTCTGGGACACCCTGTATACATATACACCGTATTCTAATCAAACGACAAAAGAGCCGTACAGACGCGAAAATTCTTTTAAATCTGGTATAAGTTATTCCAGAAAATATCTCGGGATTGTTTTAGTGATATCGAATTCTTCTGCAAAAAGATTGCTTACGCGAAAAACGAAATTCCCGAGTCGAGTCTCCAACGTGATACGATAATCTTTCGTGTAAAACCGTCCTAATTTCTCTCCGATGTATCATATCGAGACGGAAGGAGAGCTTGAAACGAATTCTGTGCTCAGAGGAGGGACGTTCGTGAAAAGTTCATCGCGCTGCGGCCTTTTTTCCGCATCAAACGGCTCGTTGGGGATGGTAATATTAGCCCGACGTTTTCCCGCTGATTTGACTTTAATATCGGCAACGAGACGATATTCATTTCCGTGGCCGCGGGCAAAGAGCGCAATGAAAATATTGCGTTACATCCGCCGGGACGGTATTACCGGGCGGAAAGAAAAAGCGGGAAAGGCTCCTTAGAACATTGTATGACGGCACACGTACTTTAGACGAGGAAGGGAGAAAAAAATATGTCAACCGCGCGGCGCGCAGGCAAGGTAAAGCGGATTACATTACGCCGTGGAAATATCTGAACCAACGTTGAAGAGGGGAGCAGAGGAGAGGGGAGAGGCAGGAGGGATAAGAGAAGGATTCGCAGTAGAAACGTTACTAAGAGTATAAATGAGGGAAAGAAAATACATCGAAACTCTGTGGGCAAGCGTCCGTTGAATTTTCCGCTTGAATTATACATATAACGTCGCGAGGGACGTGCATGCGTATATGTGTTCGTGTGTCGCCAAAAAAAGAGCGTTACTCGACGCGAGTCCTCCCATCCTGCTGTGTAAAGCCGCTATGCAAATTAGGCGTCTCTCGCTCTAATCGTTCGAGCATTATCTTGCATTTGGTCATTCGGTCAGAACGTAATTGACATAACGAAGGATAATGTTGAAACCGCGATAATTGCACTAAAATTTGATTTAA